GATATGTTGATGTCTGATTGATGACCATGATGAATGGCCCTCAAACAAACACTGCCCGACATCCGTCCTCCAGTTTGACGTCTGGATTGCAGTCGAACCTGTCCGAAAGTGATGCATGAGTCCGAACGTGTGAGTCGTGCCATGAGCCGATGGATCGAATCATACGGAACGGTTGCGACGAATCGGACGAATCGGACGAGCTTCATGGCTGGGATAGTCCTATTTCTCTGATAGGTCTGATAGGTACATGAAGGAATTTTATGTCTTGACAGGTTGTTGAAGAGCGGATTTTGTGTGAAGTTGTTCCGAGCTATTTATCTAAATGCAGCAACCCACCTTAACCTACCTTGGGTTCTGTGTGAAGTTCCTTTGCTGATCCTTCTTTGATCCCCTTCTCCTGCCTTTTTTGCCTTCTTCTTCCTACTGTGCCTCTTCTTCCGACCAGATTTCAAGCAACTTATCCAAATTCCAACAGTTTCAAATCTGATCTCTGGCACCACCAAGCCACGCAGGATGCCAGTTTGATGTCCTCGGAGATTTGTTCTGAAGGCACCATCAGGAATATTTCCAGAACCTTGTCTTTTACTATAGAGTTATTGATAATATCAATGTATACAGTATATATACTGTATATATATAATGATTTCAACCAAGCTTTCATCCGCAAGCCCAAGCTCATGCCAGGGTCGGTCCCTCTTTCAAGAACGGTGCCAAAGCTTGCCGCAGGCCCACCATCAGCGGCGACGACTGCTTACCAGCGACTCGGGCGGCAAATCTCAAAGTCCTAAAAGCCATGTAGATTCCAAACTTCGGTCAGAACTCTTGGCGAGCGATCTGCGAAGGGATTCCACTTGCTTTTGGCACCTTGACCCTCCTCTCCTTTCTAACCCAAACTTGAGAAGGACACCAAGAGCCTTGACAGACGTATAGATCCTGAGGAAAGTCCACTGTGTTCAAACCGACCCAGGTGTGTATAGGTTGATACTTTCTGAAATGTCGTGATCTGGAAGGACAGAAAAAGGCACCAAGGTTTTGGGGAACTCAAACTATGAGTGAACCTGACCAGCGCATGGCTATGGGTTGCCAAACTGCCTCCCATCTTTACAACCGAAATCAACCGATGTGGACCCCAACCCCTGTTTGATTTGAGCATGGCTACCACCTTGTCAAGAGCAGGTACCCTGTCCGCGTGATCAAAATTGGCGTACGAGTAGGTCAGCCATAAGCGAGAAGGAAGGTTTTGGGGGTGGTGTGGTGAGGTGATTTCTGCAATTGTGCAGGAAGTGGTGAACAGTCATGAATCATGAACAATCTCTACTTTCGATTAGTCTCACAATTCTTGCTCCATCTTCATGGGACTTTGGATCATTTAGAGGCCTGATGGGCCAAACTCATCCTCCACCCCTTGAAGCCTTTGGACGAAGCCACTTCACCTACCGCCGGCGTCACGGTTATTAGTTCGCCACATGCCTTCGAGGCTGCCCAGGTGGACGACACCAGTTCGCCATGTCGAAACCATGTCGAAACAACGCTCCAGAGGTGTGAAGCATTGATGTCGAAACCATGTCTTGTTTAGGCACATCTTCTTAGTTCAGGTGTGAATGGGAAGACATGAATACCGGACATGAATGGGATGACCCAGGCAAACCACATCCCATTCTAGTCATGTGGCTGGTGTCACTCTCGCAGTGTGAGCAGTGTGGCTGGTGTCCATGGTCTTCCAGCTTCAGAAACCAGGAGGAGTGTTTGATAGTGTTTGATCCGGGGTGCAAGTATTCAGAGTCCACGCGATTGGACATAATGAAGGCCCTAGTTGTCTAATATTGGGCCGGGTGAATCCGAATACTCCGGTCAGTTGCAACTGCAGTATTCTGGAAACGTTCGGCACCAGCCCAAAAACTCCCCGTTGGATGACTCCAGACGAAGGAATCCTACTCACTCATCACGTGTTCTCACTCCATTCATTTTTACCTATTGTTTACACCTCTTTGGGGCCGCCGGTCCACTATGCCACCACCACCTTCAGTCCGTTTGGTCGCCGAGGTCAGCAGAGCCGGTCGGAGAGCCGCGTGGCCGACTCGTTGAGCCTCGAGCTCTGCGTCCCCGGCGACGAGTCCTGGCAGCTCCGCCGGTGACGCCTTCGACCGGTGACGTGGCGGAGCGAAGGGCGGGTGGAAGGAGGTGCAAAGAGAAGGAGACCGGTGGACCATGTACGGAAAAGAGAGAGAGAGAGAGAGAGAGAGAGAAAAATCCACGTTTTCTTTTTCATGTGAATGGACCTTTGGAAGCTGCATCCGGGACTCTACCCCCAAGTTGAGTGTTTCAAAACGATAAAGTAACATTTCTTGCCTAGACTAGAAGGACCTTCCTTCCTTCCATTCCTGAATGTAGCCAGCCAGCTGAAGCGCTGAAGCAGCAGAGTTGACTGTGACAGATGACGACAGATGTGCTAGCAGTCTTTGACCACAGATAGCCTAAGCGTGCGATGAAAGACGCGCTGCTTGGCTTCACGGCTTTGCAAAAAGAAGAGCAGGAACAATTGATCAAAACGATCTGTGTGCCGAAGCCAACAGAGCAAACACGGCTTCCTGGTAGTCAAGGTGCCCAGCATGTAGAGTGTGAATTTCATCCAACTCCATCGGGTTTACTTGGTGAGTTAACAAATGTTCAGGCGCAGGGTTTGACATGGCTTTTGCAGCATGAAAGATACGAGGACGTTCGAAGAGGGATTCTGGCGAATGAAATGGGTATCGGAAAGACTGTGGAAATGATTTCGCTCCTGCTGGCAAGCCCAGTGACGTTGTCTTTGGTGGTTCCTCCCACATGCTTGCCCCAATGGTGTCAGAGAGAGTGGACCAAGCCAGCGATCGAAGCTTTGACATACGCTGCTACGAAAAGGACATTGCCAGAAGATTTGGGCCAGAAACGCGGAACAACTGTGATGCTAACAACGATGACAGATGGCAACCTCGGAAGCGAACCCGAGCCCAAGCTGTGCTGAAGCTCCTTGAAAAGGATGCCGAAGCCGCTGAAGGGTCCGCTGTCCAAGGGCGTAGTGGCGGCGGGTGTCCGGGTACAGTACAACTGAGGGGGACACCTTCTGGATGTGCTGTTTTGGGTGGAAAGGAGGATTGAAGCGTGGGACCGATTGATCCTAAGTCATTGGACATGGATTTCACATGATTGCACCATGACTAGTTTGGAACAGTCCTAAATGATCTAAATGGTCCAAAAACGCACACATCCACCAATGGGCTGCTGTTCAATGGGTTAGCAGCGGGGGGTGCGGTTGGTTAGCCATTTGCTATATATATGTTGCAGCATCAATTAAGCCATGCAACCACCACCAGGTTCCGAACAAAGTCCGATTCAGAAACCAAAAATCCGCGATTCAGAAACCACAACCGCGATTCAGAAACCAAACTTGCAGCGCTTCAAAAACCAAAATTCCGCGCTTCAGACACCACCATTCCCCGTTTCAGAAACCAACATTCCGCGATTAAGCAACCAAAAAACAACGATTCAGCAACCAAATTCACAGTAGGTTAGGTGGGGTGGTGGTATGGGGCTGGGGTAATAACGTTCCTGGGAGATGGCAGCTGGGTACTGAATCAATCACAGTAGGTTGGGTGGGGTGGTGGGATGGGGCTGGGGTAATAACGATCCGATGGCAGCTGGGTACTGAATCACAGTAGGTTGGGTGGGGTGGTGGGATGGGGCTGGGGCAACAACGTTCCTGAAAGATGGCAGCTGGGCACTGAATCACAGTAGGTTGGGTGGGGTGGTGGGATGGGGCTGTGGGAGATGGCAGCTGGGTAGTGCATCACAGTAGGTTGGGTGGGGTGGTGGGATGGGGCTGGGCAACAACGTTCCTGGGAGATGGCAGCTGGGTACTGGGTCGCAGTAGGTTGGGTGGGGTGGTGGGCAGATGTAGTGACCGTGCAAAACCAGGGCAGTTGGGTTTTGAACCACAGTAGGTTGGGGGGGGCTGGGGTAATAACGTTCCTGCGAGACGAAGCCTGAGTGGAAAAAACAAGAACGTCATTGGTTTCGTTGTTGCGCTTGGTTTCCGAATATTCGTTGGTTTCAGAATAGTTCTGATCTTTTTTTGGTTTCCGAATAATGTTTGGTTTCCGAATAATCGTTTTGGTGTCCAAATCACCGTTTTGGTTTCTGAATCATGCTTGGTTTCCGAATCATCATTTTGGTTTCGGAAGAAAGCCGCAACCGGTTCCGAACAAATCCGATTCAGAAACCCAAAATCCGCGATTCAGAAACCACAGCGGTTCAGAAACCACAGCCGCGATTCAGAAACCAAACTTGCAGCGCTTCAGAAACTAAAGTTCCGCGCTTCAGAAACCACAATTCCGCGTTTCAGAAACCAACGTTCCGCGATTCAGCAACCAGCTAAGTCAGTTTGAGCGGGGTTTGAGTAAGGATTGCATTCAATAACGAGCTTTGTTTTTGCATTTCTTTGCAGATCTGAAGAGGTTTACAGCTCGTCCCGGACGCCTCCGTCGTGGGCATCCCGGGAGATCCAGTCACCCCGACGCGAGCGCCGAGCTTCCGCGGCTCGGGGGGACCTTTGATCTCGGCGCGGACCCGTGCGACACGCGGCCAGATCCCGAACTTCCGGAGGAAAAGAGGCCGTCGTGTGCCATCTTCGCGCGCGAAGATCCAAGAAACATCGGATGCAATGTGCAAAGCGAGACACTTATTGGAGGATTGTGAGGCGGTAATCGCTAAGATGAAATGTCCGTTCAGAACACTGTTCTTGACGTTATATACGGTTTATCACGAAAACCCTTCCTGCACGGCTGGGTACACTCTGACGAACATATCACATGGAAGTGGATGAGAAAATGGTCCCAAGTTCGGAAGACTACTTTCCTCTACGAACAGGGGGGTTTTCACTCCACTTCCATGTGATGTGTTCGTCGGAGTGTACCTCTCTTTGTTTCGGCTTTCTCGGGGTTTGCGCCACCCGATCCCCGCCGCAGATGGACGATTCCGCGCCGTCCTCTGCAGAGTGCACACCCGAGGCACACGTGGTTTTAAAAGGATGGGAGTAGCTTCAAGAGACAGTGCTCTGAATTCTGCCAGCAATAGTAATTAATAAATAGAGATTATTTGCATGTCTTTGCTATTCTGCTGGAAATATGACATCATCCAAGTCGACCTGCTGGAAAGGCAAACTTCACTGGCATCCACTGACCTCAAAACTTGATGGACCACATGACGTGAGCTGGATGCTACTGGTATTGTTATGACTGTGGATGCAATTGAGATGAAGCAGTATAGGGTGATAGGAGATGATATGAAAAACCGTAAAAACCTCACACTGAGCAATTTGACTTCTAGCATATTCTACCCGGCAGATTGACCAATGCCGCGTGCGGCCAGACGGCCAGAGGCACCAACTGCTCACAAAAGTCGTATTTTTCGTTATACATTTTTGTTGGTTACGGATGTTCTATTGAAAGTGGCATTTCAAAAGGGATTCAAAGGAGGTGCACAAAGTCATGTGTCTTCCAGTACAAACTGCGTCTTGCTTCAGCTGGAAACCCCAGATCCTTTTCTTGGTGGCTTTGCTTTTTCGCTGTAGCGAAATGCCAGATTTTCCTGTTGCCGCTTCTTCAGTTCTACAAGCCGCCACGCTCCAGCTCTTTCAACCTTCTGTACCCAGCTCTTCAACTTCGTTCTTGCGTCACTTTGGTGCTGAAAATCCATTGAGCCGTGTCAAGACCACAAGGCAACCGCCGCGATGGGACATGACCGGGACACGCGAAAGAAGCAACGCTGGACTCCGGTATGTGGCCTACAAGCCAATCACGAGCTAACGACCTGGGAAAGTCTAAGTTTGAAACGCTCCAGGATCTAAACAAAAATGTGAAGGGCCGAGGAAGCTCTAGGATCTTTTGTGCAAGTGGATAAATTGATTTGAGGTTCAAGTTACCGAAAGACAACATAACAAACGCAAAAGTAACTCTAAAGCCAGGGAAACACAAGCAGAAAAGGACAAGTGACGCATGACATGGACTTGTACTAGTACAAAACTGCTGGCACTGACCCCCCCCGCCCACCCCAAACAAACAGTGTTGGTAAAATGAACACGATTACACGTCGTATGACGTACCTTTTTTCAGCCGTTGGCATATTCTAGCAGTCAACTTTATCTAGAAGTCGATGATGTAGGTTAAGAGTTAAGAGGAATTCAGACATAGATACGGAGGCTAAACTTGTATAGGCAAGACTTGGATGATCTTCGTTGACTATTTTGGAACATTTTTATTCTTTCCACGAGCCACTGGTTCAAAAGGCCTTTTGTTTGGACAGAACAAAAGGCATCTCGGATGAGGATTACTGAACGAAGTCCCAAGACCGGACTTTCTCAAAACATATGAAGGGTGCATTCTCACCCTTGGACACACGTCCCGTGTGCGTTCTTTTCAGAGAGACCTTCGGTTCTTCGAACCTAGGCCAGGGCCAGGGGTGAACATCTTCGGGACCAAGCGGTGCTTCCCAGGCATCTCTTCCAGTCACCTCTTCTGGATGGTCTTCCAGAGAAAAGATCCGGAAGACATAAGTGGCCCTTCCTCTGTGTTTTTGCGGAGTCTCTTCTATAGGTGGGCCAGCGCTTCTTGACGCGGCATGCCGAGGTGCGGTGGTGCGAAGAACGGGGGGTTGGTTGAACGTGGCGGGGTGTTGAACCAGAGTGGGCTGAAGGACCAAGAGCAAATATAGGCTTGCCTGTAGATCTTCCTCTACTTGTAGATCTTGTAGTAACAATTAATTCTATATGACTAAGTGTTGCTCCTACCCGAGGTGTTGGCTTTGGGCATCTCTGGGCCTTCGGGAAAGGGTGGTGAACCAAAGTCTCCTGAGAAGATCAGTTACCCTAGTGAAAAACTCACATAGACTACTCAAAAGGATGTTCCTTTATGGAGGTCCATGTGGGGATGGATCGTGCCACACCTGGAGTTCGTTCTGGTTCGTCCCCAGAACACCTGGAAGAGGTAGGTCAAACAAGCAGGACTTCGGGATCTGGGTGGTGACCCACTGCCATGTGATCTTTGGAAGGTTTCTGGGCATCTGATCTTGCGATCTTGTGGCGATGTGACCAGGAATCCACCTCCCAATTCGCATCTCCCAAGTCCTTGGGACTGAAATCAATTGAACTTAAGAGCTTTAAGCCGCCTATTCATCCCAAGAAAACATGAACGAGGAGTGAGCTTCAACTTTAGTCTGCTAGCCTTCAAGGAAACATAAGGAAACTAAGGAAGGACATCTAATGGGTGCCCAAGTAGGGTAGGGCCAGGTAGGGTGTCCATTAGTTACCCGTCGGAGGCAGCTGGTATCGTTGACCATTCGATCGTTGCATCCGTTGCTTCCCGATTCTCGACTTCGCTCCGGCTCCAGGTCTTAGGGACAGAGGCCCGACTTCGGGCTCCCGACCGGGGTAAGAGGGCGGGGGAAGTCGATGGTGGACCTGGCTGAGGGTCTTAGGATTTGGATTCTTTGGATTTGTTGATTCATTGATGGTGAGTGGTAGCTGATAGCTAGCAGCTAACCAACTCATGGATACTGATAGCTAACCAACAACATTTGATGTTGTTTTAATTGTTGTAGTCTGTTCTGCAACAATAGCTGTAGCAAGAGCCTGAAGCACAATAACATGATTCATGAAGAGAAGAGAAAGGAGCCTTTGTTACGCTTGCTAGCTCCTTTGATTGGTCTTTCAGCCTGCTTATTGGAGCCGCAATGGAACAATTTAAAGGTCGTCGAGAGGATGCGAGAATCCAAAACACTGTTTGCTAGCTGTTTGTAGTGGACGCGACCAAAGAGGCAAATAGAGCAGGAACGGCAGTGAACATCCTTACGCGCCGCCAAGAAGTTTGAGTGTGTCATCTCTGAGCTTATTTTCTGGAGGACTAATATGGACTCTGAAAACCCCCTGGTTGGTAGAGGAACATCGTCTTCCATGAGACCAGGACGTCGGGGTCTATGTGAGTTGTCCCAGATCGACTCCTCGGTTGGGGACCGAGACTCCAGGCTGATCCCTTCACCAGCGACGAGGAGGACTCGGATGAGAAGGAGCCGCGGAAGCGCGCCACGGAAGTGGACAGGTGGTGCATACTCAAATCGCCAACGGATTTTAACAACATCTAGAGGACACCTACAAAACTCTGGGCTTTCCTGCAAAATTTATATATCCTTCAACCAATTCTGGGAAGCAGGGAGATCCCCAAATTTCACCAGGAAGAGGAAAAATCATGAAACATCCACTGGGACTCTCCGAGACCTTGGCATGACTGGGATGTGGCGAACTTTGTCATACGCCATAGGCGAAGATCAAGACGCGTCTGTGAAATTGATGCATCACCCTTCCCCAGAGAACCTAAGTACCTGATGAGGGGGCTTGCAAGATGTGAAGTTCCTTTTCGCTTGGGGGTCACCAGCCCCCCCAGGCCCAAGGCCGGCCCGGTGTCGAGTGTCGCCCGCCGCTGTGTTCCAGGAGTCACCACAATTTTCCTTGGCCGTGAGGCCAGTCGTGTTTCTGGTGTGCCGATCTTGGTCCACGATGTTTCGAGACACCTTCGAATAGTGTCAGGGCCCCTGGAAGACTAAGGAAAAGGGCATCAAAATTGGTATTGTTAGTAGGACAACCACTTCAACGGACACCTTGCAGTGGTGTCTGAAATGACTTGTGTGGTGTTGCACTGCCAAGGTCCCAGTTGCCCTTTTCTTGACGAGTTTGGTGGGATGGATGGCCTATAGAAAAATAGCTGGTAAGAACCCAACGACTACCCCAACTACAAGACTGAGATGGTCCACAAGCCAGTGGTTCTGTGTTTGCGGGTGTTCCTTTAAGCACATGGAGCACCCCCAAAATATATCCACAGACCCAAGTCACATCTCAACATCCCGGAAGTTGATGGAGACAACCATACAGGACCATACATACACCTATTTTGTATTGTTTTGTAGACTGTAGACTTGGAAAAGGCATGTTTCTATCTGAACCATGTTTGAAGTCTCCCCCCAACTTGACATCTGTATCTCCCGACTACCGGAGCAGCTCCGTCCCCAGGCCCTTCGCCAGCACCATGGGCACGGGGGCCCAGGGGTGTTCCGGGCCGGCGGACGTTTCAGGGCGAGGGTGACCATGCTCTTCTTGGGATATGTTTCAGAAGATAGATGCATGAATCCGCACCGGGGGGGGGTGTTCACCGGTGTATTGTGCCATTATTGTGCCTTGCTTGTTGCTATTATAGATCTGATCTATATAGTACTTATATACTGTATAGTTAGATCCTACATGATCATATGATTTCTTGCGGTTGTGTGACACGAGGATAGTGACGTTTCTTCCGTGGCTTCCAGATTGCAGGTCCCTTGAGCGGTGTTTGGTCAGCATTCACTTGGAAGTTGTTTTGCAGTGCATGTGTCGAATCATTCGGTGCCTCTGTGACGGCCTGTGGCTTGTCCATTGGTGAAAATCTGGAAGGTCCTTGCGTGTGGACCACCACATGCGTCGAGAGGGTTCGGACGTGCTCATAGTTTCAGAAAAATATATACCTGGCCGTGAACATATTAGTCAACGGGTTGCTGTTCAGCCGGTTGGCTGTCGGACCATCCCACCAAAGGATCGACCAGGGTCTTTCCAGCTTGCTATATACTTTTCGTTTCAATCCTACTCCTTGACAGATATAACTCGACACCAATCATGTCAAATTGAAAGTCATCACAGGTTCTGGCAGTGCTTGAAATTTCATAGATTGAGGTGCTGATGTACCGGAGGCCGGGGTTGGGGTGGGCGACCGGAGGAAGTAGCAGGGTAGCTCAAAACACTTGGAGGGAAGGTATGTTCCAAGGAAACCAAGAGATACAACGAGTTTGTAAAAGGCATCCCTGTGCAATTCTATGTATCTACACCTGACCACCTGAATCCACCTGACGGGGTCAAGCAAATGAGTTTTGAGTGGGAGTGACTGGTTTTCCATTTGATATGGTCAAGAAGTATCCTCCACAACGACGTTCCTTTGACATGGAGCTGGCACCAGCATGCAGAGGGGGGTTGCTACATCGACCTAATATGGAGATGCCTTGCCATACGCCTTTTCCCCACCATAAAACCTTCAGCTAACATGACTTTCGGATATGACTTTTTGCTTCGTGAAAACGTTCGTCTTACGTCCCAAGACGACCTGTCCAGTGCAGACCGAGCGCATCTCGCAGCATCTGCCATCCGCTTCGTCCGCCAGGTGAAGGAGAAGAGGCGAGGTCGAGAGCGGGCGACGAGAGTGGAGGTTCGTTCGTTTCAGTGAGAGAAGAACGGGGCACAACTAAAAACATGCTCTACTCATCTCTACTCTATGTCATTCAGTTCAAAACCTCTTCCGCGGAGCAGACAGCAACCTTCACTATTCGGAAACTCTGAACACTCGGGTCCACAGAATCAGAGGCGGGTTCCGCGGAGGTTTTGTTTCAGGAGCTGGTCCCCTTCAGAGAGCCTTTGGTATTGGAACTGGTTGAAAGTCTGAACCTTTGGATTCACGAAATCATGCCTCCATGGTCTGTATTCAACCAATTGCCCATGCAGTTTGACCATGTTGACCCTACTGACATTGAATCCTTTATACCTCTTTTTGAAGTCAGTGGGCAAATGTGCTAAACGATGAATCACTAAGACAATTCAGATTCTTGAGAGCTCAGGTTTGGTTTTGACTTTTGACAATGGATGAGAATTCCTCCACCTCCATCAAGTCAGATTCTTCGAGATTTCACCACCCTGCAATCACAACAATAAATTCTTACTGTTGACATCTTTTGACCATCCGAGTTTTGCTTCCATTCGTGCGTTTTCAATGCTTTTGTTGAGTTCAGTTAGTTCGAAGTTCTGGATCTCCCCGCGACGTCCAGGCCTCACTCCAGCAGCCAAGGCGAGAAAACGGAGCCGTCAATGGAGACGAGCCTCGCCTCATCCCCCAAACGGCACGGAGCGCTACTGTCCGACTCAGCCCGCCGTGCTGCATTGCTAAGCAACAAGGAGCGAGCGAAAGGAGCACCCAGGTACACCCAGCTCTTCAAACGATCAACACCCACACAGATTGGCCTCATGTTTGCTACCGGTGTGGGGATTCCGGCCTCCGCCACAACGGGACGGACTGGTGCGGAGCACCAGGACCGTGAACGGGTGAAGGGTCGCTCCTACCCTGAGAGGACACCGTCGTCTGTTGGATGCAAACGGTGAAGATTGGCAAGCTGAAGGATGCACACAGTCCGAGTGACTGTCAAGCATGTTCAAAGCATGCCGGATCCATTAGTATAAAGGCATGTAAAGTACAGGGGATCCAGGGGGCGACGATTCATGTCAAAACCTCTTGACCCATTGGCCCGGTTGGCTGGACAACCATTGGTGCTTCGCGGGTCGTGTTTGTTTTGATGCTTCTCCCGCTTTCATTCTGAAAAAGGATGACAGTGTGATTGCTGAAGAAAATCACCAGAAACGGGAACGCAATCAAGGGTGTTGCTCCTGTTTGAGATTGGGCTTCCAAACACGGATCTTCACCCAATCTGCCGTGTGGGTTCCCGTGCTACAGGCCAAAAGCCTGCCACCAGGCCAGAGTTCAGTGTGGGTAATTGGGAGCGGAGTTGGTAGTGCCAGTAGATTTGACGGTGGTGACTCGACTCGTGATTCTTATTTCGTGCCAGCGGCAAGCGCTTCATTTTGGAACTCCGCGTGTTCCAGGTTCATGACCCATTGGGATAAGCATGAGGCATGAGGCCCACCCTTCCATTCAGTTTTGAGAGCTAGATTCAGACAGGAGGACCTTGCAAGATGTTCTTTTTTTGGATATGTTTTTGACGGCACCTGTTCTTCATCAAAACATATCAAAAAAAACCTCTTGGTGATGAAGGTGCGGAGGTCCAAGCACCTGGAAGCAAAGAGTGGGAGATCGAGAGTCTTCTGGGTTTCTACTTGATCCAAGCAGAAGGCCATGAACAGTCTATGTTATGTCAAGGCAGAAAGTGTTTGCAAGGCATCAGGTCTGTCGGAAGGATCTACTTATAAGATCGTTCTTCCATGGTACTTGGCACGGAATCAAGTCGTTAATACGTACTTGGGCAACCATGCCCAGTAGAGCGGGATTTTGCTTCATTCCCTCATTCCAAAGCATCAACGTCATCAAGGCATCATGTTCCAGCCCAACGGCGCCAGGTTCACCAACCCACAATGGCAGGGGGCCTCGGTGGCTTCATCAACGGCCTAATTAGATGGCTCAGGTGACGTGGAGTGTTGGAAGGTTCTCCCGATTGTGGCCCACAGTGAAAAGATGTTCTGAAGCCTTCCTGCCTACCTCATCCAGGTGTTGAAGTCACGCGAACGTGAGTCCATCTGAAATTCGGTCCAGAAAGCCCTTCGAAGTGTTTTCTGCACAGTGCTGTCAGACAACAGCACCACGCATCGCCAAAACAGTGCTCGATCTTGTTACCCGAAGGTAGCAGCTGCGCAAAGCAGCAATAAGAAGCACTAGCCGCGCGAAAACAGCTGAGTAAGGTCGTGCCACCTGGTGGTAGCTGCCGTATGATTCGATTTTTATGCGCAGAAAGTGAGAGGCTGACTTTCAAAGATGAGCCAGTGAGCAGCACCCCCTAGCTGAGCTATACTGGATGTGAGGCAGTGAGCAAACACACTGAAACGAACTGCCTCCCATGGGCAACTTCAGAGATCAACACAGGACGTCAGTGCTTCCCAAGCAAGATGTTCTCCATGAATCATATGGCTCATATGGCGGAATCAGGCAGAATCCAAGAAAGAATGGAACCTGGGATTCTCCATATTTCCCCAAGATTCACCATGCCATGTCCCCCCCCCATGTCCAAACGGCGGGTTTTCTGAGGTTGCAGGAGCTGCAAGGAGACTCAGTGGAGGAGACTCAGACGGGGTTTCTCGCCCCGCTCCAGACGAAGGGGTCACCAGTGGGTCAACCGCTGGTTGAAATGGATCCCAGCTTCTTCAAAGTGACCTTTTGAAGGTTCCTAAGTGACCCTTAGGAGGCTTAAGTGACCTCAAACCAGGTTATCAAAAGGTCACTTTGAAGGAACATGTCGTTTTCAGATCCTTTTGGGCGTTCCATGATTCGCAAATGACCAGGGAAAACCAAAAGAGTTGTTGCTTCGACATGGATCTCGCTTCGACATGTGTTCTCCAAAATTTTTGATACAACTTTCTTTCCGGTTTGGGGTGACAGCTGGTTTGAATGCTGGGAAGCTTGAAATGTGATTGGTGTCAGGATGATAGTTCAGGTTCAAAAGCCAAGCAACCCCAGCTCTGGTAGCCTGGTAGATGAACACTTACGGGATCTTACGGGTATATAGATGAACATCCAGTCCAGTAGTATGCAATTCTCTGAACCGTGCGATCGGGCGCAGATCGGTGAAGCTTTCTTTAAAGCTGAGTATATACCACTGTCCCTCTATTGGAGTTCCTCAGCCGTTTTGGTCAAAGAGACGGGTGCCTCTGTGTGTCCCACGTCTCTGACAGAATCCATTCGTTCTGTGTGGTTCCTCAGCCGTTGGAGCCTGACCTGAGGTGGCAGCGGCGCGTGCTCCTCCGCGGCGAGGAGCGACGCGGTGGATCGTGGTGATGGGGACGGTGTTCTCCGAAGCAAAGCCGTTTTCATGGGAGCTATCTAAGAGACAGACAAAGCCCTAAACCAACCACCCTCATGTAAGTAATGATAGTAGTAATTATGTAGAGCCATACATGGAGTGGCTGCTGGGTGCTGTGGATGTGAGATCCTTCTTTGGATGTGAATAAAGTGGAACCTGAAGACTCATGCCAGTTCGGGATGACACGAAGCCAGTGGCACTGACTGTGGAGATGTCTATCCAGTCTATCCAATCCCGTTCTCACCCAGGAGCCTCCTCGCCCTTGGCAGGACGTGTGTCTCAGTGGCAAGGTTGTACAGCGCTTTTTTCCTTGCCTTCGCCCGCGGGTGCACCTGATCTGCTTGACGTCCGGGTGTTTTCGGTCTGGCAGGATGTGGGAGACTTCCAGATTTTCGCCCATATCTTTTCTGCACTTTTCACAAATCCACGTTTGCAACACACCACGTCTTATTATTCCCCATGTGGGCCACCATGATGCCTGTGCGTTAAATTGGTGTTTTTTGAGTCATTCTTGGGAGGGGGGGAACCTTCCCATGCCTGATTTGGTGAGGGGCCTTAAGCCTTAAGCTGGAGGCCGAGACAAGACAACACTACACGACTGGCCGCCCATAAGCTTACGGGAACTCAGACTCGCCTCCGGGATCTCAGGTAGTGTTTTCGTTTCAAGTCTATATATTGTAATTATCACATATCATCAATAAATGCCAATGTGTGGTGCTTAATTGGTTGAAGTTTCGTGTCATGTTTTGTGGGATGAGCCTATTGGGATGAGCTGAATCTCGCTTTTTGCTTGCCCCTTTGCTCAGCCCATCCATGGGCTCTCTTTCCCTCTCTCTCTCACACACTCACACGCAGCAGCAGCTATTTAGACCAGCCCATCCCTCTACAACACGGGAAGCGCTACCTTCCAATATGTTCCAATAAATCCATCCATCCATCAACCATGGAAGTGGACCTTGATTTTGCAGGGAAAAGCCAATCGTTTCGGGACCATGCCATCATCATACATTTCGATCCATGATTGTTGCACAGAGGTCTATACTGCATGCGATCATAACTCAACTTAACCTGCTGCACTGAATGGATTGTACCTGGGCGGCCCTTTTTGCTCGATGCCAGCTGATAGTGTGGTTCCCATTTGGGACAGAGCAGATGCCTGTGCAAGGCTGTAAGAAGAAATTGCTACTCTTTAAACAACTCAGCCCTATAGTGTGGATGGAAGAGCACCGTCGTATATACTGGTTGACATTCTGAAGGACAAGTTACGGACACCGAAAAGGATCGGTCTGATTGACGATCGACACCAGCTCCATGCAAGACAGCTCTCCACAGAAAGAAAGGACGATGTTTGTGTTGCAGATTGGTGCTACGGTAGGGCGGACCGGTCGCCTAGCATGAATGAAATTGGACATGGTGCCTCCACATGCCACGGAGGCTGCAAGAATCAATAGGGTTCCCTTCTAAACTCCCCCCACCGCAGGAGGAGGTGTCCAACAACCTAGCGAGTTTGGGTCAAGCATTCTGTCCCCCCCAAACTCCGAAGGACACCCAAGTTGATGGGAAGCGCTCCAACCGAACTCCGGTCTCAGAGTTGTCCACGTTCCGAGATCCAGAACTGGAGGGAGCACCGAGTCTCAGTTGCTCCAAGAGAGGTCGGTCATGTGACCTTAAGTTATATATAGGACCTCCTGAGGTGCCTATGGAAGAGTCGAACTAGGGTGCTTCAACCTGGTCTGGTTCAACTAGAGATCTCAGAATTTGGCTCCGACGTTGAACTTCTTCCAGCTATTCTCGCTTTTCTCGCTTTTCTTCACGCCTGGAGAGCTGCGCCATGACGGCCACGCTTGGTGCGGCTCAGACTGGTTTCAGAGGGTCGGGTGCCGTCCAGTAAATGAAAGGCTTCAAAGAAACACATCGTGGGCGACTTCAGGGGGTTGTTGTTTGCTGTGATGAATGTTTAATTCAGTTGTGTGGCCGTGTCACGTGGTGCCCAGAAGGGCGGCGTGGGCCGGGGTGGGCGGCGTGGGCGAGGGCCCACTCCGAAGGGTTCGTTCAGCAGGGTGCCCGATCACGACCACTCAAGAAGGGCCCTCAAAGAACCAATAAAATGCTCTCGCCGGGAGGTCGAAATCTTTTAGGTTTCTCAGAGAGGAACCACATGCCTAAAGAGAAGGCTGCAAAAACATGACGGAATGGTTTGGGTTGATCATGGGTGATTGGATGGGTAAGTTGGGGCACAGTCTTTTTTTTCCCCCCGAGTGACAGATGAGTTTCTTTGTTTAGTTGCCATGTTCGCTTATTCTCAATGAAATGATCCTTGTTTGATACTGTATCTATTTGGGGCAAGTGTCCCAGTTTTGTCGTTTTGTTTCGCATAAGGCACAGGAAGAACTGTTTGCTATTCCGGGATCCTCTCATGCAGGTATGACAGTACTTGGGGTGTTTAACCACTAACCGGCGACCTGGATCTCGGGGGCGCTCACGACAACGTCGTGATGGTGTTTCACTAGCGATGGCCGCATGGCTGATGCTGTTACCCTGGGTTACCCTCCATTTCATCCAAAGACAGACATTCAATAGCACAGATTTTTCCTGGCACTGCTGCTGCGGCAAATTCTTAAGGTGCCAAAGATGTATAAGTTATGTTATTTATATGCCATAGAAGACTCTTCATATGATGACTTTGTGTGCTGATGCTGAACTACAATTGACAGGTTCCACGGTTGTTTTTGCGGTTTTTGACTCCATACTCAGCTGTACCCCTATCTTGTTCTTGCTCAGGGCTATGTGGACGAGGAGAACGAGGCCTGGAGAATTAGTTTCAGACTTAATATGACCAGGAGCTTCCTCCGCGGAAGTGGCGGCCTCCTTTTTGTTGTTTCATGCCAAGCTTTTTGTGGCCCTTCTCGACACGATCAAACCTGCACTTTTGGTTAGCCACTGAACTGAATTTGCCACCTGGGACCCATCGCTGCCAACTCTTTGATTTTCAACATAGTGGCCAAGATTCGAGAACGTTCGACTCACTTTGCTCAGTTCGAAAGCAGCCCATGTGCCTGTGCCATTTGACTCTCCTGTTTGGAGAACAGCGAACCGCTCCGCTCCGTTCCGCGGAACAGGGGCGTAGCGCCTTTCCACGGCTCGAGAACCGGAGCGAGGAGCTGGACGGGAAGGCGCAGGGGGCGCCGGTTGGGAAGCAGAGGGTAAGTCCAGCACATCGACTCAGAAAGCAGAAGGGAACTGCAGGATTCGAGTGATGATCCAACAGATCGGTATGGAATCGCCGGTTTTGGAGATGTATGACTCATGAAGACATATCAATGACGACAATTATAGACGCGATTCAGCGAGAAAGAGCCTTTCTGGCGCTTTCTGGTATGGAAAGTATCAAAACAGTGTCAAGCAGTAGATGTCAAGATCACTTGCACGTCACGGTCCAGGGTTTTCTATGTTTTTCTTCCTCGAGCAGCACTTCGAGGAATACATTCGAGCAATCGGAAGTCAAATCTGCTCGAGCATTTGCCAGTGACTCGGGCACTCCAGTACTGTTACCCTCTAGCATCCTGGGTGATGGAAACTGGGATGATGTTCCTAGTGTGGGACAGATTCTTCTGCGCCCCCCACGAGAAAATTGTCGTGAAAACGCGCTTCCCATTTCACACACACCCTTCTCCCCTTCTGCAGTCTTTGGTTCAACTGCTCCACCCGCTCATCCACACCTGATGAGGTGCTCTTGAAGATACATCAGAGAAGGGAAGATGCCAACCTGAGCTTCGAGGCGTTTGGACCGGGTTGTGCCCGGATGCCGTGTTTTTTTTTTTTCTGGTGGCTGGGTGTTTGGACGATGACCCAATTGTGACCCCAATGGATACCAATGGCTGGGTCTTCTTGAATAGATCCTGCGAGGATCTGCATCCGGATTCTGGTCTCCTGCGCAATGAGAGTTGGCATGCTTGAAGAGGATGACTACTCTCCAAAGCCTCAACTTCTGGTCTCCTGCGCAATTTCAGGCTTGTTAAAACAAACTGACCCATTCTTGGAAGTGGTCATACCCTTGCTCGGTGTCTCTAGACACATGAAACTACCAGGACCGGCGTGCCCTTGACTGTAGCACGAGTCAGAATGTGGACGTGGCTTACAAACCATACCAAGCATGAAGACCAGCAAACCTGTCCTCTTACACAACACACACACAAGCTGTTGATGTACGGATGATTATTACAACTTGACATCGACTGCATCCTCAACATCTTATATACATTTATACAGTACATAATATATGAGCCACGGTCAAAACATGCGAAGACCACTTTAGTAAAGAGGTGTAGGTTTGTGCACAAAACCCTGCCCACCTCAAAACCGATAACCCCAGCGCTGTATATGGTCATAAGTATGCGACGAACTCAAAACGCTGTAAAACGATAAGGTCCACCTCAAAACCGATGACGTCCATTTTTTAGCTGAAGAAGAATAAGGAGTTTTGACCGTCCCTCATATATATATATATAATATGTAATATTATTGTATGATTATACTGTTGATGGACAAAATCCTGCACCACTTTGCGCACACTTTTCTTGCTGCCCTCGTTCTCCCTCGTTAACATTGGGGCCACCACAGTGAGAAAACAAAAACAAGTTAAAGGTCCACAATCCTGCACCACCTCCTCAAAGGGGTCGCGCCAACATTGAATGAGGGGGCGCGGGGGTTGCCATGCGACCCTTCCAGGGTAAAGTGGTGAGGTGGTGCAGGATTTTGTCCATCAACAGTATGTTTGAAATCAGACCCAAGTATGGCCTGGCTGGCCATTGTTCCCTGCCCGCACGGGGGTTCCATGGCCAGCCCTTCTGCTCTGGCTGGCACGGGTCTTTTGGTCCAGGTCTTGGCCTCTGCGGAAGGGAAGCAGTGGGCCCTGCCTGGTTACAGGAAGTGGCTCAGAAGCTCGTAGGTCGGCGCCCACGAGGCAAAGCTTGGCAGGTCTTTGTTGGCCCAGGTTTTTGTTCGTCATTGTTAAGGCCCAGTATGACAGGACCCCCGTCCCAGAATTGTTCGAGTCGCTCTGAGTCTGGTTGGAAGTTTACTAAGAGGCCCCATTTTAAGAGCACCAGAAAAAAAGATGAACAAAGTAACTTTGGAATTTATGGGGGGAAATTCAAGAGCACAACTTCATTCAAATTCTGAGCGCATGTCCCAGCCTTGGTCTGAAACTTGGGGATTTGCATGTTCTCGTTCTGCGAGAGTGAAAACGCCCATGTTCTCCTCTTAACCTCCAGATGGCCGATGAACGTGATGTCGTCGATGTCTTGGCTTCACCTCTAAGATCACCCACACTTCGATGTTCCAAACCAGTTCTCCTCACCTGTGAGTTGGGGTGAACCAGGCCCAAGCCTCTCTGAACACTTCGATGCTCTCCAACTTCTCCAAATCCTGCACTCCAACTGCGGTGCTGCCAGTGGCGCCCGCAGTTGCTGCCCGCTAGGCGCCCGCTATGCGCCCGCTCACTCCCCGCGCCAGGATTCCCATGAACGTGTGCGCCACCACAGTGGCCTCATCCATTCAAGAAGCTCTCGCACGCAGGACACCGGGTGCCGAAGCTTTTGGGCCAGCAGTGGGGTCGGATCGCGGTCAGAATTGATATTATAGTATACACCCACAAAATAATAGCTATGCTGAATAGCAGAACCAGCGGTTTGTGCAGAATTGATTTGTCTGAAGTCTTGCGTCTTCGCGCAGGCTGGGCTTTTGTTTTTTTTTTTGAAGGATTGCTACGCCGTGATTCGTCTGATAGGTAATACGGTATGCATAGAAGCAGCAACCAAAGCGATCTCTGACATAGAAGGGATCGTGGGTCCGGTCCAACGACCCTTCATTTTGCCTCTGATAGGTATGGCACGAGGTCTCTGATGTAGCCATGCACTTGTTCACATGGTCACTCCGGTCTGTAGCTCCGTCCGTGAGAATGAAAGACTGACATAGAAGCCGTGAGATGAGGCAGATGGGTCAGATGAGTGGAAGGTTGGGTGCTTAATTTTTGAGACAGGCACGAGTCTAAGCCCAAAACATCCGAAGGTATGTCCAAAAGGTTGGTGTCTGGACATGCAATTCCATCTCTGATGTTTAAAAAGGGGGGCCTAGATCTGTGACCCATCCGAAGGGTGCATAGGGCATGTGTGGGTGGTCATTGCGATGTCCAAACTGCCCTGTATAACGACCTGGACCCTTTTTCTACATGTTGCCTTTTAAACATGCAAAGATAACAAACCGCATCATTTGACGCATCACAGAAATGTTTACTGCTTATCCATGTTGTTCCTCTTATGAACCTTCTGTGATCTTCAGACTGGGGTGAAAGTGTAGAATCAAGATCTGCTTTTGACGAATGCATTACACAAGCCATAATAGTTACAATATAACCGTATAACCTACACTCCTTTTAAGAGTTCTCTGGAACTTTCAAGGTTGATCGTTGAATTGCATAGCTTCAGGTGGGTTTCACCCTAAGCAAACATCGGGATTTAGGGCACTAGTCTAGTTTCCCTAGATTTTCTAAAAATCTAGAAACCAAATGAATGTTGCGAGCGGTGGGGGGGAGCTTCCTTGGGCATTGGAGAAGCGTGAGCTATCCTGCGTCCATGTAGTAGCCTACTTGTACCTAGAAAGCTTACTTGTTAGCTACTAGCTACCTCTAGCTACAGCCAATCTGCCGGGCCCCAAAACACAAAATGTTGGTTTTCGCACATTCTCAAAGGCTTCGGGGCCACGGCCTTCGAGCCGACTTCGAGCCGAAGGAGCCCTTGGCTTTGCGCATGCCTTGATGGGACTGAAGGCACTCCGCATCACCGAAGCATACCGAAGCGGACTTCGAATCGGTGCATCGATCGGTTTCTTCATGTTTCTTCCAAAAGCAGGTCGTACAAGCAGAGATGAATGCCCCGCGGCCCTAGTTGTCCAATCAGGAGACATGCAAAAACATGACACAACACAGACATGACTCATGACCATCTCTTCCTCCCAATTCCTTTGCCAGAGATGGTTGAAGATCTGGGTGTGTATTTTAATAGGGGGACCTTTTGGCCCAATTGGCTGACCCGGTCTATTTTCCTTCTTCCAGACTCTTCAGGGAGTCCCAGTTGGGGAGATCTCCCTGTTAAGCCACACACCCAGCCCCTCTCTTCCTACCCGCCCAAAAGACCAAAAACCGCCCCAACTTTCTTTCTCCTCGACTCGCGCATAACGCCAGAACCGCGCGCCAGCGCCCCACTCCTGGCATTCGCTTCGCGGCCGACCGCCACGGGGCCATGGGGCCGACCGCCGACGCCGACCGCCGACGCCGAGGCTTCTCGGTGCGTCACTCCTTGGGTGAAGAGGACTTCGAGGAGCGACGTCGGGCGCGACGCCGTCGTCGGCAGGTGTCGTCGCCCACGGTCGTCGCACGTGTCAGAGCTCGTAGAAGCCGCACTGACGTGAAGCTGGGACATCGAAGAGAAGAAGTGCTGGTTCGTTGTGGTGATGTCCGACGGTCCTTTCTAAAGGTGAAGTGGACCATCTATTGATTCTTATAGGACCTGGACATGCAAGAGGTACTAAAGGATTGAATGCAAATGGTCAACACTGTCCAACACTGTCCACACTCGTCTCTCCGGGAGCAACCGCCGCCATCTGTTTCTCCCGTGCAGACCCGCAGCCAGTGGTGCTTTAAGTTTGTTGGGGGGTTCGGACCATTAGAACCACAGGGGTCCTCCTCCAATTTCGTCACGCTCTGACGACTTTCAGAAGAGGCATGGTGATGGTGTTGGTGGCTCAGGAGATCTTTAGCCTTGAAGACCAGCCGGGATCCTGGGGCCTCAGTACAAGGGGTTGTCCACTTCCATGTTTGTTGGAGAGAGGATACATATTGACATCTTGGTCATTCTTGGCCAACATATATATATATATATAAGTAGTTTACATGGCTTGTATGATGAGGAAGACTTTTCGAACTCCCACTTTCAAAGTGGTCTTCAAGGCTGTGAGTTGAGGACTCCTCACCATCTCCACTGAGGCATGGTGGCTCCAGTGCTGTGCTGTGCCGCAAGCCGCTGGGTGATTCAATGCTGACCGCCCACTTTCCAAGACCCACGTAGTTACAGTTGGAAGCTCCTAGCACGTCCCCTGAATGTAAAGATCTTCCAGAAAGTATTTGGATCCTATTTTGGTTATGTATGATGTCTTACATGTTGCACTCGATATGTCTTACCCTCATTCGCTCAGGTTCGCACCACGTAGCCTGGAGCTGACGATGCCCTCACGCGGCGCAGGCAGACGTAAACTTTTTGCTAAACAGCTAGGAATGGGCGTGTCTGTTGGGAGATCAGGATCTACCCTACCGTCCCTCAAACAATCATGGAAGCTGAGCAGCCAGCCCACCCTTGTAGAGGAAAACGGCTCCTTCACAACTCCGGGTTTCAGAGATGATGTTGATTGAATAGTGGCACAGAGAGTTCAGGGAAATTCAATACTGTAATTGATGATATATGGTGATCTGTTTCAATCAACGATTGTCATGTATCTTTGACTTCAACATAATCAATTGCCAATGCATGATCGATTTCATGAGACGCGAACATGTGCCAACCACAACCACTGGGATGAACTATCAACCAGTGTCATAGAACTCAGCAGGATCTTGGGGTAAAGATGAGGATCCGCCATGGGAGCTACCCTGATGCTGGTTGACCCTTGTTCTGGTCCTCAACGAGCAAGTGCTTCGCATCATGGTCGCATAGCAGGACAAAATCTCCTGTCGCCGGCCAGCCTCTTGCAGTGTCAGGGCCTCAGTGGCACGACTGTAGTGAGCTGGATATATGACTTACCCAAGTCCGTCATCAATCCTATAGTCATGCTTGAGAATTGGGAACATGTCCAATACAGCCATTTGCCCACTGTTGACGAATTGTCCCATGACTACTGTATATTACCATGAAGTAAACGCGGCTGTCCCGTGAAAACCTAGGGGCTAGGGATTCGGCCATTTTTGGCACACTGCAATAGGTAGGTCTCTGGATTTTGGCATGGTTTCATACTTCCAGCAACCAAGGGACCATAAAGGACCCAAAGACATATTACTGCACTTGATGTCTTCCTATGCAGCGACTGACTTCGCCACTTGCTTCAACTGAGCTTATACCATCCTTCACCATCCTTCACCCCCCACCGATCACGCCGGATCTCCGTCCACCGTACCGCGCAGCGAGGCCTCGAGCTGGGCAAGCCCGTGGCCGGGGGGGCCGAGCGGTCCGTCCCGGTTTGGGGGGGAGGGGGAGAAGCTCGGAGAAGCCGTGGCTCGGAGAAGCTGAGTTGGGATGAAACATCAAAGGTTGGGGAATCCTCTTAGGGCTTAGGGCCTTTTTGGTGATACTAATATGATACTATATGGGGTACTGGGTGTGCATGATGTAGAGGTAACCGGACTACTTGGCTACTTGGAGCGAGGCAGGAACTGCTTGAAAAAATTGGTACGGGTTCACGGAAGATGTGTCAGGAATTCAGTGCCGCAGATTCGTGAGGGATGCGGGGAGGTAGGATTCATCGATTTAGAGTTAGGGTCTGTCAGCAGCAGAAAGATAGAAGAAGTCTTGTATCATCAAAGATACCAGCATCACGGTAAATACCTTTTGTTTCCCTATCCCCAAGTGCTGCGTGACACCCCCGCGACTTCAATTTTCTAGAGTTCCTGGCTGCGTGGCTAGGCCGCTCGAATCGCAATGCTATGGCCACTAGAAGGTGACTTCTACTGTATAGCAAGTCTTGCTCTGTCGCTGTGTTTCATGGGTGTCTCAAGCTGATTGACCAAGTCCAAGCACAGAGATCATCAGAAGTTCCTCTCGGGAGGTCGCCCAAATGTGAAGAACAGCGCGGTTCCAGCGCACCCAGTATACTAGCTTCTTGAGTAGCAGGCCCTGCAGGCTGCCAGGAGCGCCCGCTCCCTCGGGTCGCCTCCTGGCTCGCTCCGCGGGTCGCGATGCCCAACCCGAGGGCTCCATGTCGGTGAGAAGCACGGTGGCGGCGGCTGGACTGGCGTCTCGGTGTGGCGAGGGTCGGTCTCGAGGAGTTTTTTCGTCGCCGGAGGGGCGTCTTGCGGGCCGAGAGGTGTCTCCGGAGCGTGCGTGGGGGCGAAAGGTGAGTCAGCCATGTTATCCGAAGCTGCGCCACCAGGTATCAGGTATCAGATTACTATCATTGACTGGTGAATCTGAAGGTGAAAGATGACCCCAACTTCCAAAAACACTTGTACATCATTGGGTGCTCCTTGTTTCATGGTGTCACTGTTCACCCCAACTGCCAAATGTTGCATTTGGCCAGCAACATCCAGCAACTCCACACCCCACAACTCAGGAACCACCTAAAGCCGTGACACGGGACGTTTGTTGCATCATGACCACTTCAGCATTCTTCAGCATTTGGACTCCTACGTCTTCATTCCGCTCTCGTCAGAGGCTGGGACTCAGCTCTTCACCATCCTTCTGTGGGCCTTCATCTTGGGACTCCCAGAGGTCCACGAGGCGTCTTTGAAAGTGTCATAAAGCTGGAGTCTAGGCTGGTGTCCCAGATCTGCCTATCAAACCTGGTGCCTTTCGATTCAGAAAGGTGTCTTTTGGTGGACATCCGGTCAGAAATGGCGAGAGGAGTGTAGGCGACTTCAGAAAGCGAGGAAAGCGCCGCATGAAGGGTGATTTGATGATAAATATATAGGCATCATTTTGGGCTAGACAAGGAGAGGTGTTGCTTGAGGTGGCTTAGCAGCAATTTGGCGACCTTTTTCCACTCTGTAGAACCAGACATCGTTCGACGTACCAGTACTGTAGTTGGGGCCCAGGCAGGCCAGAAATCGCTCGGCAAGTGTACTATAGATATAAGAGAATCGAAGAGAGGTACTGAGGGTGGCCTGCCGTTTTAGGTGGAGAAATAGATGCAAGGGACACCCAGCTGTGCATGTCCACTAGAAGAAAGAGCTGCGGCTATGAGGGGCAAGTCGAGTGTCAGTGTCGGCAAATCTTGTTCATGATTGTTTGACTGCAAGACCGGTTGCTGCAACACCCTTGAGCTGATAAGAAGAACTAGTCAGGTAGACGGTAGACGTTTCTCTTCATTTGAGATGTTCACCACATCTACATGTCCTTTGCCTACATTATTTGCCACACATCCAGCAATCTTTCACACCAGCCTTCCATAGGGTCCCTATGAAACTCTGGTCCCGAGGTTGTACGCTTCGAAGCCGTTCTGAAAGCTGTGAAGACTTGGTCCGATGTGTCCAGCTTCTGCGGATAACTAGAAGCTACGTTCGTAACAAGGGCATTCCTACTGGTAGCAAAGAGCTCCGTTCGTAGTGTCCGTGCTCCATTCGAGCACGTCACGCCCTTCGACACCGAACGTCGCTTGCTTCGCACGGCACGGGCATGCACGGGCCGGGTCGGTCTCCGTGGTCTTCCGTGCGGTTGTTCCACCGTGGTCCGAAGCGAAAGCGACACCGTGGTCCTGGCCAGGCGGCTCGGGAGCTGGCTCTTCAACAGCTGGATGGCTTGACGGTGCGTGGCACGTCCGCGCGGCACGGGCACCGCGCGGGGTGGGAAAGAAAGGCTTGTTGCAGGAGCCTGTGGACGCCCAGGGCAGTGGACGGAGCCTGTTAGCTCCTAGACAACACCGACTCTCGCCACTTTGTCCTGTCCTTTTGCCAGGTTCATTCATGGTAAGAGTTGTTACTTTCAGGCGAGCCATGGCGAATCCGCATGCTACTTGTAACCCACCGCCGATGTCTTTGTGGAAATCCATGCGGTCGAAGCTCGCGACGTGACAACGTCGCACGAGAGTCGGTGGGTCATGAGGGGCCAGACCATGCTTGACCATGACAGGCCGCAGAAAAATATAGAACAACTGGAGCAAGATGTGCATGCGGGTATTGAATAGATTTGGGACTCGAACAATCGGAAAAAAATATATTATATGTAGTTAAAACATGTTAAAATAACAGGCATGAAAAAAACCTTGATTAACATCTCAGTCTGTTGGTGGTATGAGTCTTCAGTTTTCAACAACCAGTGTCAATGTCACACATTTTTTTCTTGTGCAGCGCTGAGTTGGCCCCAATCCCATACAAGTTTTCTTGACATGTGTCAGATGATGAGCCGCGGGGCAGGGTCATCTACCTCAAATAGTGGTCGGTCTTGACAACGCAACAACGGAATGGTCGTCGGGGAGTTTCAGGCACCTTTGAATTGCAAAGATCTTGATGTTTAGGGTCCAACCAATCGATGATGATGATCATGGTGAACGCTTTTTGTTGGCAATGGCGCCGGCGAAATACCCTTTTTTCAGTGGGCCACCGGGAAACAAGGCATCAAGTGACCATTCTGAATTGTTCAACTTGCAATGTCATGTCAGTGTGACCCTTCTTGATTTGTCCCAAGGTGACACGATCACCAATTCCAGTTGTCAGAGCACCTGTCTCGCATGGCAAAAGAATGAGATGCTCGTATGTCGCAGCTGCACTTCCGAAGTTCCAGATGCTTTTGTTCCAGATTTCTGCATGCAGCTTTTGGGGGACATTTGGGTCGTTGCCAGGTGGCTTTGGTCCTCGGTGTTGGCTATGCCTTGGTCTCAGTTCGTCAGGACTATGGATGAACCCTACAGCAGCAGGTCATGATATGCGAGTGGCGTGCTCCTCTTCTGCGCAACAGTTTGTGCGTAGTAGGAAAAATAGAGTGTATATACATCAGTAAATCTATTGAGCACATTCCACTAAATGATGGCACTGATTACATGGATATTAGAGATGGATACAAGAATGCAGTGCTACAATAATGATGTTTATTTTTATTTTTTCAGGGATGTGGGTACACGCAGTTCAGGGTGGGCTACCTAGATATGGGATTTGGCACTTGCCATTACACCTGCATCGAACGAGGGTCAATTTAGGAGACCCGGATCATCCATGGATCCATGCATTAGTCCATCCAATCACCCGTGGCTTCGGATATTTCGATGTTCAACCTTTACTCGGGATGATTGATCCGACGAATATGTTTCAAGTCGCGCGTATACTAGGAATTCCTCGCTGAAGGCTGAAGATCAATAATTACAAAGATCTATCCCCATCACGATGCATGTTGAAAAGATTACGCTCCGACTCACTAACATGGAAGTGGACAACCTCCTGTTTGTAAAGGAAAGCAGTCTTCTAAGGGCTCATTTTCCACTTCCATGTTAGTGAGTCAGAGTGTACCCAGCCATTTCAGTGCGTTGACACCACCAACCAGTGGCATGGTACGAAGAGACTCAAGGCCATCGGGGATGCCGAGATGCTGCGACAAGCCTATTGGCTGGATGCCCCAGCGGTCTAAAAGGTGTTGTGCCACCGTGATGGAAAGCATGCTTGGATATGCAGCCTAAGCACATGTGTTCACTGGATCCAAGTAAGCTTGGTGCCTGTTGCGCTGGTCCAAGACAGGTGGTTTCCAAAAAGGGGAAGACCATCCACGCTGTCCCATGGTAGATCTTAGATCTCTTCAGACTTCCTTTGCAGTGATTGGCAGCGGTTTTCATGGACCCAGGTCATTGTGAAGATCGCGTTGTACAAATGTCCTGGGGTATGTAAATCTATGTAAAAATCTGGACAACTTTGTGATTATAGCTCGAAGAATTGCTTTGGGCGGCCGAGGTGTGTACGAGAGTCCTTGTGCAATGCAGGGGTTGGAGCCTAAGCGCTTGGCAAGTCGCTTGTTGTGCTATCCACGCTTGGTTCAGAGGAAGGACGCCTTGGTTTCATGTAGTTACTCCCAGGTAGGACTCGCTCGTGCCTGCTTTGCTTTCAGTTATTCAGCTGAAACACGCAATTCAATGATTTGTCTATTTTGCATGATGCTAGATTGGAAGCACTGACCTGCAGAGACACTAATACAAAGACAGAGAGTTCTGGTTCCAGGTGGTGATCTGCACTAAAGGACGACTTTTATGTCGTCACTGACTCCATGTATGGAACATATGCAAGTATGAACACCATTAAACTCATTGAACCCTTTTCAATCACCCCTGTCTGTATGGCAGTCCTATGGCAGTCGCCAGCATCCGTACATCCAGTGGTTTCACTGCCGTACATCTGGTTGGAATGCACTTCGTAAGGCTCTTCAGCGGTGGCTGTGAAACGACGATGCAGGGCTCATCGCGTACGTGAAACCCTTTCCAGATATATCCAGTGAACTGTTTCCAGTTGCAGCACCAAACCCACCCAAACTCCTGTAAATAGCTGTGACTTGCTGCCATTCGGCACCAAAGAGTTTCTTTTGATGGTCCTTGGTCTTAACATACAGCCAAACACCAAAAAGTATTTTTATTAATGTGTATGCGTGTGTATATCATTTGGTATAGCCAACAAACGAGCAAAGATGACACAGACGTTTCAGATATGTACGTTCAGATAATGTTGTGCTTTTTTCTCTATGTATTTGTCCTCACGGTGAGCCTTACGTCATATTTCTACGACATGACGTGGACTAGGTGCCGGAGGAGTGGATTGATGGTAGTGGACCAGTGCGGCTCTTGAAAGGACTGGGCACTGGGCTTGGGCTTGGAGTCCCTGTCGGTGTGTCACTAGTGTTGCTGGGACGAGCCATGCTGGGACCATCCTGCGCGTCCAGCCGTCCGCTCCTCAGCGGGTCGAGGCATGTCGTCGGACGATGGCGTGCGACACGCACAGGAGGATACTTAGCACACCGCTCGGTGTGCAAGACGCCTCTCAACGTGCTCTCCAAGGTGGTGCGGGATGGTCTTGGGGGGGGGGCGTCATAGCCTTACTAGCAACAAGGATGCTACTAGGTTGGAGGCCATCGCTGGTAGGTTGCCATTGCTACTAGTAACAAGAAGCTACTAGGAGCAACCGCTTCTAATTGAAGCAGAAATCCAAATTACATCTAGCTGTAGTTCTCTCGTTGTCCACTTGTTCTTGCAAAAAAGACACCTGGATGTGCATCGTGGTTGTCTATGAACCTCAAACAAAAGCAACCAAATGTTCTGCCTTCGGTGGACCGACCGGCAGGACATGAACCGACGACCGTGCGACCGTGCGTGGACCACCGGCCTGCCAGGCTTTGCTGGAAGATGCCACGTTGAAACAGCGCACGTGGTTGACCTCCACCGACTGCTACACGCTTTGTCAGGCGAGCGTCGTCTTGGATGAGGGCGAGAACGGTTGTAGCTGAGAACAAGAACGCCACGAACGAGCTAGAGTGTTTATTTGAGATAGAGATGTTGGTCAGTCAGACTGTTATCCACAAGTCAGATCGAGCCATCCAATCAGAAGAGTTATCTACGAGTTTATCTACGGTGGTGTGGATGGCACAATCCCCAAGTTTGGTGGTTTATATTGACCCCCATCTTTTCAGTACATCCTCAGTCGCGTGCCATCTACTCTGAAACCATTGTATAAGAGCCAGAAGATGGTTCCAGCCTATTACAAGACTTGCCTCCAGCCTGCATCATGAGCATGTCCCATGTCCTATGCGTACAGAGGTCCAAAGACCAACGATTTACAGCAGTCGACATGTTGAACCACCAGAACACACCGCCGTAAGCTCCGAGCAAAGCAGACTACATCTAATTGCAGACTACAAAAGCTAGGATTGGCTACCACGGAAAAGGCACAGAGTTTTCAAAGGGTTTGATTGGCTCGCCTTCTTCAACATGTGACTATCCATGCTGCATGTATTATATATATATGGTACCCCCCCCCCCAAAAAAAAAAGAAACTACATTATCTTAGAATTCATTGGTATTTGCAGTGTGTTTGATATTTTTTTATTGTTTTTTTGAATCTGCTTTTTCTTGTTGTTTTGGTGGTACCTTCCTTAAAATCATCATGCCTTAACACTTAATACAAAGTACTTGCTTTTGCGTTTACAAACGCAAAGTTTGTAAACGTTTGCAAACGTTTGCAAACGCTCCACTTCTTGGATCCAGGAGCCTCAGGATCCAAGATCCAAGATCCAAGATTCCGAACACCAGGAATTGAAGACATGTCATAGTAAACGAATAAGAGGACTTCGTCACCAGGATTGAGTCTTGGATCCTCAGGCTCCTGGATCCAAGAAGTTTCCCCTGGAATCTTGGATCTTGGAGCGTTTGCAAACGTTTGCAAAAGCAACGTTTGCAAACGTATGCAAATCATTTGGTCTCCCTTCATCAGTTTGAGTGCCGCATGTTTGCTACTAATGTCTGCCCAGAACTTGAGCGCAAAGCCTCTGCATCGCCTGGTCAGCTGTCTCCGCAGGTGCCTTCCAATGTCTGAGTGCCGCATGTTTGCTACTAATGTCTGCCCAGGACTTGAGCGCAAAGCCTCTGCATCGCCTGGCCAGCTGTCTCCGCAGGTGCCTTGTTTGTGGTCGGGCGTTTCGTACACTGGGCTTCACACCCTGAAAAAAGTGTTGATGCAGTGAACAGGGTCTCATGTTTGGAGCCTTTTATGGATCATATACTTCACTTCTTAGCTTTGCCCTTCTACTTTGCTGCCATGTCCACGAGCGTCAAGGGCACTGTGCACTTGGGAACGGAGCTGCGCTCTTGCAGCTAGTTCCTAGCACTCCAATGCGCCAGCAGGACGCAAGCCCTCGTCCCAGTCCAGATGATGTTGCGGAGCGGATCCGGCAAGGGAGCATCATCATTCACCCGACTAGGCAGCCATTTACCAGAGAGGCTGCCAACTCGGCACTGGTTACAGTGCAGAAGAAGCTTCGTTTAGCAACGGGCGTGAATGGCCAATGGTGCTCAGAAGCGGATGAGATCCTGAAGAACACCTTGGAGTCGAAAAAAAGGAAGCACAGGAACATCAACAGCTAAGAAGACTTTGCTCGCCCTTCCAGCTCCTGTGGTACAGCCAGCCTTGGCTTTGCAGGCCCCTCCTGAGGATACCGCCTCCACATCATCCGACACGGAGTCGCGTCATTCTTCCAAGCGGCGCAAGAGGTCATCATCCAGCTCTTCGTCTAGTTCTTCTTCCACGTGCAAGTCCGCACTGAGACGTGAGATCCGAGAGTTGAAGACAACAGTCGCTTCGTTAACCTTCACATTGTGTAAAACCTCGTGCGTCTTGTGCAAACATCATTCCTTCATTTGTGAAACAAACTTTTGCTTTCATTACACATGCCAATGCCTATCATAATATCATGCCTTTGACTGTCTGGTAAAACCAACACATCTGGCAACCAGGCATCTCACCCAAACACCTGACTAAACGTAGGTTTTGGGGGGGTAGCTAATATATATATATATATATATATTAAATATATAAACTAACCTTCCTTTGAAGGTGAGAATCCTCCACCTGGCGCGCCTCCACGGTGTTGAAGCCAAATCTGTTCCTACCAGTTTCCACCCAAATAGGTCGGTCTTCTCACTCAGCACGCCATCGGCCACGCAGAAGAGAGATCGACCTCGCCGATCCAAAACCAGCCTAGTAGGTTGGAGACCATCGCTACTAGGGTGGAGGCTATTATTACTTACTACTATAGTAGCAAGAAGTTAAGAAGGTACTAGTAACAAGGATGGTTGGAATGGCATCGCCCCCGATTTCGGACGAGCATGTTCCGGAGACCAAACTGGTGGTGCCACCGCCGTAATCATGATGGTTACGGATGGTTACGGCTCATATGGTGTTCGCCTCCGAATCTATTTTTCCACCCAAACACCTCCATTGGCTCCGGCTCCACTGGGCTTTGCACCTAGGAGTTCCCACAGATCCTGCACTCACCTCCGCGCCCTGGACCCTCCGCGGTGCACGTTCTCGGACGTGGGACCTCGCCAGGTGCACCGCAAGCGTTCGGAGGATGGAGGCTATCCGCGCCTTGGAGCGAATACCCCCCGGGGTCTCTTGATGAGCTCGGGGCAGGCATGCGAGTTCAGCAACAGTTTGTTGTTCGGAGATGGGCAGAGAGACTCAGAACGGTTCGTCTCTCATGGATATGGAAGATCATGGTCCATGCTGTCTCTACAAAAACAGAGGGAACATCAATAGGCAAATTAAAGGCATACGCAGGAATCCTTCCTACCTCGACCTGAAGTCCCTGTGTATGGTAGAATGAGATAGAATGAGTACGTTTGACCATAAAAGCGCTCAGTCCACATGATTGGAGGGTCGAGCTGCTCGTTGTTCCCAGGATCAGCTTATTTTGTGAGTCGCAACATGTGGGTCCGAACATGTGGGTTCCCACGATTGGTGATGGGGCGTGCACGAAGACTGCTTAGGGCATACCCTCAGATTGAGATGCACTCTGCATTTGATCTATACTTCAACCCTGCCAGGGACCCGACTTCTCAGCCAGCCAAGGCATGTCTACGAGCGCGGGCACCTGGAACGTTTCGTGGACGGTCCTCTAGTCCTTTTTGTACCCAGTCGGAGAAAAAGCATCTGACCAAGTCATCATCAGGTGGGACAGGTCATTCATATCAAGCTTTACTTTTCGACGCATTCGTTGCGAGAATACAGAGTATCCTAGACGTATTTTCAAACAACCGCCTTCAAGACAGTTATACTATGATACGTTTTTCCTACCCCTTTTGGGTCCTTGATGAAGGTCCCATCTGTCTCATTTGCAACCAAAAGCCGCCATGTTTCGATACAAAAAATGCTGCAGGCCAACCCACCTGTGGAGTCTCTGCGGGCTGAGGCTTCGATTGGATCACTCCGATGAGATCCTCATGTCGGCACAGAGGCCGTCGGCGGGACCCATCCGCCGGTCACAACGTGCCCCATGGTACAGATGAATCACCAGGTTCCGACTGCCTGTATTTTGGTTTGGATGGACCAATCCATCCAACATGATCCGACCATCCGGAGTATTTTGTGACAATGATCCGATTTGTTGGCAAAGGAAGAACACATGGCACTTTGCATACTCCCCAGGCATCCAGCACAAATCCTGAAAACGCGCCCCTGCAAAACGATGGCTTTGGGGGAAAACATGTGGGACTGCGTGGGTGAAAGACTCGGTGAACAGACTGATCGCTTGAGGCTAGGTCGAGACTAGGTCGCAGCCGCTGAGTGAGTTTGAACAGTCGATGCACAAAATCCTGCACCATCAAACACTGAAAGAGTCGAGATGTTCTGCGTGCTCTTAAGAATACCTGGTATACTGGCATTCGTAATTGAAGAAAAGACATCACACCAACTTTTGAACCACGGCCTTGGCGGTTGGCTGCTAAAGAATCCGAGTTCAAATTGTCGAACACCTTGAAAGAACATTGAATTCACTTCCTGAAGATTCCGTGAATCACAGCAGATCTCGAAATACCTCCAAACCTGCCCTCGAAATCATCGAATGCCAACCCACCCATGCGGGAAAGAGAATGAAAGAGATTTTCCGGAGGAACCACAGGCTTGTTTCCGGAGGAACCACTCGTTTGTTCCCAAACCCATGTTCTGCTTGTTCTGTGGTACAGCTTTCCCATTGGTGCAGGGAAGATGAGCAGTGCCCATGTCGGATCTTTGCTCGGAAGGTGCCATGAGGGCCGGCGGATTTTTTATGGCTGAATCGGCATTTCGTGTCATTTCACAAAGTTTTCAGGTATGGGTCAATGTCAGACTCGTATCCTTGCTCATTATTAGAAGACTATATATACATACTTATGTTATCTTATGTTCAATCTTTCCGGCTGCCAGTGGCTTTTTTGGGATGATTTCAGAGTTGCAGGGCATATCTCATATGATATTCGCCAGGAACAGTGGGCAACCTTCAGCCTTTTTTGCGGTATTTTTTTCGAATCTTCCCACTAAATCCATCGAAATTCGTGGAAAAAGAGGCGAACCTCGTTTTTGTCGCGCAACTGAGGGGGTCAGACAGCCGGTTCTGCCGGTTATCAGTGGAGCTTCTCCAGCTGAAGGACGCATGGACCCCGTCCCTATCTTGTGCTTTTCTTCTTGGGAGGTGGTAAAGCTACTTCACTTCAGTATGTAAGGTGGTACATGTTTCAGTGAATCTGGGTCCGGGCTATGGATGTTTTAAACCACAAAAAAAACCGAGAATTGAGCATAGTCTTAGACCAAAGGACTTTTGAGGTGACATGACATGAGCACCCAACCATTGTTCTTGCCTGTGTTTCAATCACATTCGCAAGATCTGGTGAATCACACGACCTTCATGCATGTTCGGGTCACTGTCTACTACTTCGTGTCTTTGCACCGGAGCGTGGAGCGCTCGCCCTGCCAGTCTGACCTCGAACGCTCTGAGCATTGCGAGGACGATCGGGATCCAGAGATTGGGACGACGGATGTCTCCATCAAACAAGAGTACCCCTTGGCTCAGTAGATACATGGGGTGGTTTATTTGGAAGTTTACAAAGACAACGCTATAAGATGCTACAAGCAGTGTGACTTGAGCAAAAGAGATGGGTTTGGAGGGTTGACAACTAGGAGAACTTCTCCAACAGCACCCTTTTTCCAATAGTAGCAAGAAGCTGCTAGGTTGGAGGCCATTACCAAGAGTAGCAAGAAGTTATTAGGTTGCAGGCCATTGCTACTAGTAGCAAGGGCGCTTCGCGGAATGACCTCGGTTTTTCGCTGCGGAGACTCCGCCCGAGGGGCATCGGTGTCCATCGGGCCACCCCGAGGGCATCGGGCCACCGAGGATGTGGGTCTTGATTCAGAGCTTCACCCTGATCTCTTGGGAGCCGGCGCAGATCCTGATTTGGGTGAATGAAACATCCCAATTGATCATGATTCTGATCTTCCCAAAAACTCTTGGGACCTGGGAGAACACAAAATATGTTGTGTGTGTGTACCCCTTGTAATCACAGGGATTCCATTGAATTGTTTTTTCTTTCTAGCAGGGGGGCAGTGGTCCTTTCAGCATTCACTGCCTAACAAAGACACTGCTGATCGGATGTGATATTCCTGAGGGACGCCTCGGGAACGTACCTGCAACAATTTTAAAGTTTGCGGCAGTCACGCACGGAACGCCGTCACTTCGACCTGATCGCCGACCTCGTTCTTACGCTTCGGGCCACCTTTCCTTTTGAAGACCCCCTGGATTCGATGGCTTCCTACTGATACTCTTAGGAAGTGGAACCATATAGGCTGGCGTGTGGCACCGCTATCAGTTCAGTACACCCTATCCTAAGTGTGTTTGGCTTCGTGCCAACCCGGGATGAGCCCGCAGAGTGCCTCCCGTGGACCCGTCGAACGGGGGTTTGTCGTTATCTCCCCAGCCCGGAGATGTAAGTGTCCGGAGCGGACAGCAGATGGCTTACGCCACAAGAAGGGGGATGTTGGTCTCATTTTTGGAATTCTAAGTTGGCTCATGCCCTTACGTGACCGCAGCGGTCAGAGGTGGCAGCCCTCGGGCAAGCCGTACGTGGTCGCAGCGACCGAAGTTTGTTCAAGGTTCATTGGAACCTGTCGCGAGCTTAGTCCCCCCCCTTCCCCTTCCCTCCCCCCTTTCTTTCTTGCTTTTTGGGGCTTTCCTGAATGGAATACTCAGGATCACCCCTTTCTTTCTTTGGTGTGTCCCTGGACGACTGTTCGTAGCTGGGAACACCTGCCTTTTTCTTTTCTCTCCTCTCCCTTTCTCTCTTTCTCTCTTTCTCTCTTTCTTTCTTTCTTTCTGTCTGTCTTTCTTTCTTTCTTTCTTTCTTTCTTTCCTTCTTTCTTTCCTCTCTTCACCTTCCTTCCTCCTTGGGTGTCCCTGGATGCTTTTGTCATAGCTGGGAACCTTTTTCCTCTCTTCCTTTGGTGTGTCCTTGGACGCTTGTGTCGTAGCTGGGAACACCTTCTTCCCCTTTCCTTTCTTCTCTTTCTTTTTCTCTTCTCTCCCTACCCCCCCCCTCCCGTCGGGACCTTAGAGTGGGTTGCTACTAGGGGCTCCTGGCCTTATATACTACTAGGACGCTACTTTGATGCTTCTAGGGGTTCCTGGCCTTACTACTAGGCGCAAGGACGCTCTAGGGCAGAGATGCCTCCCCTTGGGGAGGCGTGTGTGTGTGTACCCCTTGTAATCACAGGGATTCCATTAAATTGTTTTTCTTTTTAGCAGCGGGGCAGTGGTCCTTTCAGCAGTCACTGCCTAACAAAGACACTGCTGATCGGATGTGATATTCCTGAGGGACGCCTCGGGAACGTACCTGCAACAATTTTAAAGTTTGCGGCAGTCACGCACGGAACGCCGTCACTTCGACCTGATCGCCGACCTCGTTCTTACGCTTTGGGCCACCTTTCCTTTTGAAGACCCCCAGGATTCGATGGCTTCCTACTGATACTCTTAGGAAATGGAACCCTAGGCTGGCGTGTGGCACCGCTATCAGTTCAGTACACCCTATCCTAAGTGTGTGCTTTTCTCACCTGCAGTGGTAGTGCTGTTGCACCGGCGCCCAGGAAACCAAGCAATCAACCAATGCCTCCCGTATTTGCGCCCACGCTCTTGGGCGAAAAGCGCTCCATCCTCCACATCTGTCAGGACTACCTGGGCTCAGTGGTGCCCAACTTCTGGGGCACTCTCTTCACCCTCTACGACTCCGGAGTCGACGCCCGGACACTGAGTCGACGCCCGGACGTCCGACGGGCTGGGGGAACCAGTCGGACGTCCGCGAAACCGAGCGGAGCGAACGTACCCGAACGGACATGGTCATCAATCAAGCAGTACCGCATCGTCGCAGTTTGTCTCGTATATAAGGAGGAGGAAGAGAGAAATTACATAGTAATTGCGGAAATATGGTGTATATTTTTTTGCAACAGGTGCAAGAGTTGCTTGCGCCATTGTTGCGGTTGCCATCACCAAAGGAGCCCGCACTTTATGTGCTAATGGACGCAACAGGGGCTGGGGGGGGAACATCAGTAGTTTTTGACCTTCATGTTGCCTTCCCTGTAGCGTCATTTCAGCAAGTCAACGGACGTCCTGATTCACAGGGTTTCCTGTAGCGTTTCGACGGTGTGGGAGGTGCTTCCCCTGTGCCTGAGATAGTGCATCTATCAGTGGCGTTTAGTCAACGAGCAAACCACGACGATTCGCCATCACGTTGCCTCGGTAGCCCCAGTTGTAGTCACTCATAACTCTGTCACTCTGTCTGAGTCTCTGTCTGAGTCCGAGCCGTCTTATGCCTCACACGGTGTCTGCTTTCGCTTTCATGGTGGCAGGTGGAAGCCTTGGGAAAGGACAGCGAATGGCTACAAGGCTTGCCGTTGAGGCGGCGTTCGGGGGAGGCTTTGCCCTTTGTTCGGGGAGACGTGACTTAGCTTTGTGACTTAGCCTCCTTTTCTGTCAGATGTTGTGCCTGGTGCATGGTGATTCTTGAACTTTCCGTCCTCAAGCTTACCTTTCCGTCATGGTGTGAAACATCTTGATCAACACATCCGAACCATCGTGTCGCTCATGTCACGTGCCGGAACCAGACACGTCGGCTCGTCTTTTTATGCGTTTTCACCGGTGGGACCGGGCGGGTGAGGCCCAGAGAGGTCATCATGAACATCGGCTACAAGACCAACGTCTTCGGAGATAGCCCAAGGCCTGGATGGGGTTTGGGGGGGATGTGTTTGGAGCTAATTGATCACAAAGGAAGCGCTTGCACACCTTCGGATAGGTTGATGTCCGGCTCATATAGATAGAAGATTCGCCCTTCATGCGGCCAAGGATGACAGGACGGGGGGCCAGCCATTTGGAATGACCTGTGCCGGGCCGACGCCGCGGTGACCGTCGCTTCCGCGTACTGGATGACAGGAAAATCTCTGTGGACTACGTGCACAAGAAGGAAAGGCCGGCCTGGGGATGGAGCTTCCGGTCTTGGGTGGAGCTTCCGGCCTTGGTTTTCTGACCAAGTCCGTCCCTGGACACCAGGTGTCCAGACTTGCAGGGCTTGGACTTGCAGCGATGCTGATCGTCGCGTGGCATCGGACTTACGGACGTTTCAGAATATCCTTCGTGTTTGTACGGCGTTGCTCTTGCGATGGCATGGACAACTAAGAAGTGTGAAGCTTTGGCATGGACGCCTGGCATGCCTTTGGGTCACACGTCTCTAGTCCAAGTGAGCATTCTACCAAGCTCTTTACTCAAGCTTTCGCCTTCCGTACGGCCGCCGAAGCGCCATCCGTAGCGAACGCCGAAGCGCGGTTCTCACGGAGGCCGCATATGGAGAACCTGAAACCCAGATGGGCCACTCGGCGCGATGGCTGCGCGATTCTCCTGCCGTTTGGGGTGAAGAGGGGAGTGAAGGCCGAAGGCCAAACGCCGCGGCAGATGCAAGGGTGCTTTTTCGGGGTAAAAGTACTGGGCAAGAGGTCAAGCCTTCTGAGAAGGGGACATGATCCTTTTTGATCCCTTTTCCATCTCTTACTGTGTCTCCATGATAAGATAATGAGAAGAATATCGCAGATTTGGGCTACCGACCCTTCCTCAGCAAGAGTTTGGTTGCTGCAAAGCGCTCCACCCAGTTGAATGGTTTCTTGGAACTCCGCCACCCACTCAATCACCTCAAGAATCGGTTTTGATTCTTCATGATTCTTCCCATGTTGATCCGTTTTCCTGGTGTCCCAATTCCACCTGAGGACAAGAAGCTCAACTCCTATGCCTTACCTTTCTTTGGCCGAGCCGGCATGCCTGGACTGTCACACCGGGACTGTCCTCCGTGCCGAAAAACGGCCGAAGGAAGACCGATCACACGTCCGTCGACCTGTTTGCCTGTCCACGTGCCGTTTGAAAGCCTCAGATCTTTTGATGTCAGCATGTCAACATACCATGACCACCCCTCTTCAGGTATCGGTCGTTCGGTCGCGGCCAGACATCAACGGCCGCCGTGATGGGACGTCTCGAAATGTAGACCGAGTCAACTCCCAGTCTGGCCCAGGTTGGTCTGGGCACTCTGAGAGTCTGACGGTTTTCCTGCACAAACCGTTACAAACCCGTGGGTTTTCAGGGTCCATGGGATCGTCCAACCAGCAGGAATCGCCTCCTATTTTTTGACCCAAATGTATTTGGTGCTTAGGTTCATGCTAGGCAACTGGCTCATCCAATGGTGAAGACCAAATTGTCGTGCATTCATCGAGGCTAGGTCGTCGAATGAGGATCGGATCATGTACTTTGGCCATCTTCTTGCAGGATCCAGCTTTGTAGTGCTTCGCAGATCCAGCTGTTCAAAGCTCCCGCCGCCTACAAACCTTCAACAAGCCCAATGGGATACAGGCGCCCCTACCAACACCTCGGTCGCCCCGGCTGGGATGGGTTGCCCACCGGAGACCTTACGAGTCGTGGGGCGTGTGAGTCCCAAACCAGAGACCTTACAGAAGACCGGCAGGCGCTGTCACTCAGCGAGACAGCGTCAGTTTTGATCAAGACAGCTTATGGCATCGTGTTTGCTCCACGTGTTGGCTCCACGAGACAGGAATTTAAGATGGACTTGTGGTAGCGATCCTGTGTCACATGGGTGCTTGTTCTTCTTGAGGGTAGAATCGGGTAGAATCCTTCGCTCCCCTTCGAAATCAGTCCCTGTTGATGAACAACATCCTTCACCATCTCGGATATTCCCAAGCACGGCATGTCGGTTTGGGTCCATTAACCATGCACATCTAAAGTCTGTGAAACACTATACGGAATGCAGTTACTTCACCTCTCGGGCTTTGACCTCCAGCCCTCGCTTGCTTCGTATGGGGGCCGGACGCCATCCCGGTAGGGTACGCGCCGAGGTCAAGAAGGCGAGCGCCAAGAACTTTCAGCTGGTGGTCGATGGCGCCAGGGCCTCGGCTGACGGCGGAGCAGGTGTGCAGGTGATCCGAAAAGGCATTGGATTGCGGTGACAATGGAGAAACCCGGAGGAGAAACCAGGAGAAACTATCTTAACAGTCAATAGGTCACTTCAAGCCTGACACCTCATAAGCAGCGCGCCACTCATCAAACACCCAAAGAGGGGCAAACCAGCAAACGTGTAGGCCTTCGGGTGTCGTTTTGTTGGAAAGAGGCACGTCACATGCCCATTCAAGTTGAGAGAGTTCCCTTTGCAGAAGGGCCCTTGCGACATCTTGCCACTATTCCTGTTGGCAACTAGATAGACCAAACCCAGGTTACCCAGGTTGGGAACAGTTCCACTGGCTGTGGCTGTGAGAAGTGCCCAAGACATGAGACAAGATGGAACGTTGAGAGTTGAGAGGCAACAGCGGCCCGCAAGTCTTGAGCTTGATCCGCTTGTTGTGTTTCTAACTAGCAACTAGCAACTAGACGCGAGTCAAGCAAGCAAATAAACCTAAATTCTCGCAAGGTTTGGTGATACTTGCCTTGCAGGTCAACCCCATAGAAAAGCCGCTTTTGACTGGTGGCATCTGGTGGCCATGTAGAAGCTACTCAAATTTGCAGTTGTCTTTTGTGCAGGACCAGAACACCATTTTCTTGATGTTCGGGAAGATCTCCAAGGACACGCGAAAGAATCGACCGAGCGAGCGAGCGAAAGCTTCGTTCGGTCATGTTTGGAAGAATCGACCGATCCACAGCGGTCGTGGGTCTAACATGTCTAACCGAAGAATCCACCAGAAACGAGCTGACCGGAACGACCGCTCGTGTCTCAACGACCGGAGAGAGAGAGCTCAGCAGGAGAGACCGAGAGACCGAGACTCTCGGGGTGATGCCTGGGGTCGCCACACTGAGGATGATTTGCCTCCTAAAGAGGATTCTTCCAATCGTCAGGGCTCAGCACCCCTGCACCAACCGCTGCCCCCCCAGATCTCCCCAGAAAACAGTTGGGCACCGGATGAACATGGCCCGGTAAAGGTCAGAACCCCACACTAGGATGTGGTGAAAGACACCAGAAACGGGAAGAACCAGGGGTCCTTGTGGGCCCTTGTCATCTCACAGCCGCTGTCAGACGGGTCCTTGGCATCTCCCAAGCAAAAACCATCGTGTCCTGACGGGTGCCTATGACACAGGACGTCTTTTGCCTCGACTTCCGTGGGCCGATCGCGCCCTTGGAAGCGATGGCCATCGCGCAGCTTGGCGGTGAAAAGCGGGCTGGATCCGTCAAAGCTTCACCTAGATCATCCTAGATCATCTACATCAGCAGATAAGGAGTTGGGATGAGTTGGGGGTTTGTCAAGATAGGTCAGGATGACCAGCTTGAAAGTGTCATTGGCCAGCTGTAGAATTTGAGGATACAGAGCTTCCAAAAGACTTAAGCAACTCAGTCCACAGTGGTGTGGGATGGTGATAGTTACTTTGCAGTCCACCTGTGCCTGGTGGGGTACATGGTTTACATCATGTTCTCATACCTTGTTTTGGCATCAAATCCATCAGCATTGATCCAGAGAGAAAACAACTTGCAGCCTACAATGTTCCCAGCAGTGTGGCCCAAGTCCATGGGTAGCTTTGATTTCGTAGGTTCCAATCAATTCGCTTCTAGTGATAGGCCTTTTTTAAAGTCTGTCCAACCTCAGTGGTTTGTTGCAAAGTACACTATTGCGATCAGAGATTGCAACTAAGACACTGTAACATGCAGAGTATTGTAGAGCTATGTGGGCTATGTGGTTGATCCTTCCATTTTTGCCACCTTTGCCTCGCTTCCTCGGGGACCAGTGTTCAGGACCACTGCTCTTGCCAAGAAGAGAGCCGTCAGCTGAGCGAGTTTACTGGGCCTTCAGTGCGCCTCATCGGCGCCGCCTTCGGTGCGGCATGGCAGCAGCTCATGTAGAGGGGTGTAGACTGTGGTATTTGTAAGGAAGCAGAGACCTATCAGAATGATGATACACATCTCCCTAATGGAGGGGTCTTTTTTTTCATCCGCAGTCTACATTAGACGGTGCATCTCGCCATGATCTGCAGGATCGGTGTTGACAAAATAATTGTTGAACAAGCCATGTTCCGCTGAGCAGGTTCATCCAGTGGGGGGTTCCAAAGTCATCCAAAGTCGGCTTGTGAAACCGGGTGTCGGTGTACCCAGTCGTTTTGCTGCCTGGTTTCAAACGCACAGTGACTGGGCAAAATGCGCTCCGGGAACTTCGTACGACCGCCCAAACATCTGACAAGAAACACATGAACAACCAGAAATGGTTGTATTTGTTGTGTAATCCACCAAATAATCACTGTTTGAGTAGGGAACCTTTCTTAACAAAAAGAAGTCAACTGTTGCCGGGTGGCAGGACAATCTACTGTAACGTATTCGACTTTTTGTTGATGTCATTTAAGGTCATCGTCATCGTCAATGACCACATGTTTATTCTTTCCATATTATAGTAGGCAATCAACAGAGATTCCTTTTGCATGTCACCATTTCAATACACCTCAACTGCCTAAAATCAATTGAACGTTTTTCTTGTTTTTGTTTTGGCAGTCGTGTTCCGGGGCTGGAACGGTACACTTATAATGCTTCCTTGTCAGATTAAAAACATATGTTCATCATGATCATCACCTGCATGCTTGTAAAAGATTCCACATAGTTACCTCCAAACATATTTTGCATATCTTTGCATTGTGTTGTTCGCGCATCGATCTTGCCCTTTCTTAGCCATTTGGTCGGGCCAAAGATGCCTTGGGCGACAGATGCAAACGCCCAAAATGAGGGTCACGCGTTTGCGGAAGCCTTGTGTTTGCCTCCTGCTTAATGAGGCATTGCAATAGTCACCGAACAGATGGGGCGGACATCGTTCTAGTCTTGTACGAGGACCACTGCATAATTGTGCGCTTGCTTGATGGTGATCCATGTCATCCACAACCTTCGGTGCTTCGTTGGATGTAGCAACCTGGAGGGTGTCAAGGCCCAGCATCGATTGGACAGTGATTAAGGAAGGTAGTTCTGGATTTCTGAGGCTTACCCCCAAGCTCCAAGGCCTCAAAACAGATGAGGCATGGACAGAATCTATGGGTTGGGCCAGGGCACCCTATGGCTTCAGAATGGAAAGAGGTTCCAGGGGCGGACCCTCCCCTGACCATGCCCCTGGGTCCCTCGGTCGCCCAACGAGTCCAGCCGAATGCGGCGCTACACGAAGGACCGCACGAAGAACCGCCCCTCGAGGCCTCGGGTCCCTCGACGCGGAAGTCAGATCGGTGCCCCGCTTGGCAGATGTTGGTCCTCACCAACTTGCCTAGGCTGCTCCTGCAGGGAGTCTCGGACGGACTGGGGAGAGACCGATGTGGACGGACCGAAGACCTGGGAGGACCGCCAGACTCCCTCGTGGGGTACCGAGCTCACCCACTCAGGTTAGACAGCAGGGGCCGACGTTTGGTGAAGGACGTGGAGTTGTTGGACAGTAGGGGAGCCGAGGATGCGGATGGACGTGGGAGGCCGAGGACGGACGCGCTTCCAACCGAGCTTCTGGCTACTAGCGATGGCCTCCAAGCTACTTGTGGCCTCCACCAAGCATAGCGTCCTTTCTCCGGTGCAAAAATGGATCTCAACAACTCAATTCCAGAATGATAGTCTGATATAACATGATATAACTCACCTGCAGAGAAACTGGGCCAGCGGCCAGTGTTTCTCAATGTTTCTTGTGTTTTTCTCGGATTGCCTGTGTCACAGACTACTAGGGATCGGTGGTGTATTTGTGAGTGTGCTGGAAAGTACTAGTAAGCAGGGGTGAGATCAATTAGAGTTATATATTATAGCAGTCAGAGCAGGAATCATTCATGTGCATGACTCCATGATGCTGACTTTTCCACTATCCTTCCCATGTTTTCCCTCAGAGAGAGAGAGAGAGAGAGAGACAGAGAGACAGAGAGAGAGAGAGAGAGAAGAGCATCTCTAGCTAAGTGAGAGGGATTACGCGAGCGTAGACAAGATCATTTTGGCCTTTGACAGCCATGTCGACGAAACAGACCGAGGTTCACGTACGACGTGCATGACCATGCGCCAGGGTCCGACACCTAGTGGACTCTCCAGCCAGGATGTTGGACCACAACAGGCTAACCGGTTTACGAATCTTTGCACTTTGAACCACCAATCTTGCAAGGTCCTCGCGAGAAGAGAATGGGCAAAAACGGTGGTGAGAAGATGTGAAATAGGTTTACCCTCCAAAAGTTCCACTTGGGGGGAGGATCCGGAAGCGATGTGCTCCAAGATTGGTGTTCAAGACTCTGGACCGAAGCTTTAGGGGGTTTGCTTGACGAGAGGTTTCTCTTTAGGAAACGGAAGGAGGCTGAAGCCAACACGGAAGGGTTCCATTCGCCCATGTCGCCCCATCAAGGCGGTGTTCACGGATGTGGTTCCCCAGCGACACTGGTGTTGTTTTTAATGCCATGCTTCCGCAACAAGAATGGAACAGTACCGTGACTTGAACGCAGATACCAATGACCACAGCTTTCATCACTCGAATGTTAGAATAAGCACTTTCTCGTGTCAACTTTGCCAATTCAAACACGTTGTAATCAGGGAGGAATTTGGAGAACCAGATGTGGTTCTCAAGAGATGCCCGTACCATCCTGGACCTATCCGAAAGACGCTAAGACTAAGAGATCCACTCCTTTTTCTTCTTTTTGAGGTGCTGGATGATGGACCCCAAAGGCCTAAGAATGATTACGGTACCAACCTCAGTTTGCAAACTGTGTTGATTTGATTGATCTATGCCTTTTCTCAACTGGGTCCACCTACCAACAAAAACATGGGCAGACTGGCCAAGTTCTCTACCCACTTATATGGGGGGTCAATGTAAAGGTGTATCTTCCAGTCTCGTCGTTCCGCGACGCCTCACGTCGCAAGGCCTTCGTGACAATGCCTTGAGCCAGAGGTCGCCCACGGAGTTCGAGCTCCGCTGGGGGCCTCGAGATGGGAGGAAGGAAGCGAAGGAAATGAGGAAGGAGGTGACGAAGTGCATCTGACAGAAGTGGAGTGGCTTTCTACATTCAATGCAAGCGGTTTCGAATCATTGTCGAGTTTTTTGGAAAGATCAGTCAGGTTTGTGATCGGTAAGACCTCTGTTCATGATGTGATGTGATGTTTGGAATTGAACGATTTCTCGAGGAATTGTAGAGTGTTCGTGTCACCTCAAATGGCCAAAGACCTTTCCTGAACCTTTTGAAGAGAGGGCCCAAATCAATGAAATCACCTGAACCCCCAATGAGCGCAGGAGCAGAAAGATTACACACTGGTAGATTGTGCCATGTAGATATTTATAGCTCATTGTAAGATCTTCAAAAAGACATGCCACTTCGAGACATGAGACATGTTTCTAGATTTTCTAGCTTCCTTGTGTGTGGGTTCTAGGCTTAGTGGTTCGAACGCTTCTCCAGGCTTGGGCGGCCGCCGCTTGCGTTGCCGGGATGGAGACCTCGGCGCAGAGGCGGACGTGACGGAAAGCCAGAAGCGACGGACTTGATCCTGGATGAAGCCTCTAAACTGGGTTTGTTTGGGGTTTTGAGTTGAGCCCTGTTCATACCAAGTCTTGTTGCCCTAAAAAACTGGTAGCCTCGATATTTCCTTTGTCAGGTGAGCCAGTTCTTCTCTCTATGATGTATTTTATTTTCAAGTTGGGACCTTGACTTTTCAAGATGTTCTTGTAAAAAATCCAACCAACATCCTGTTCATCCTTGTTTCAACTCATTCTTCCATGCACGTTTAGTGCAGTGTCTTCTTGGAGGTTTCTGTCAATTTATACCGCACCACCACCTTTCTGCCGCTTCACCCCTCAAGCGGCCTTTCTCACTTAAAGCGGTGTTGATGCCTCCGCGGCGAGACCTGGCTTGATGAGATCGCGGCGGCACGCCAGCGTCTCACGCTGAGCCAGGGTGCCCCAGTGCGAGGGGGTCGGGTGCACGGTGGACAGGGAAAGGATTACCAGGATGCGGAAGACAAATCGGAGTGATTCTCTTGCAGTACTTGTACTTGAGCATCTTTTTGGAATGGTCGGACAAGCCAGCTTGATGAGTTTTTTTTTGTAATGTTATATGGAACGACGGGTATGCTTGGGATCCTCGGTCACAGCCCAGTGGAAGATTGGAGATCAAAAGCAGCCCCACTCGGCCTGACTTGGGCCGGGAATATATGCTATGCTTCCTCCCAGAAAAATGGAGCCTCAGGAACCTCGTAGACTCCTTAGTAGGTATGGGACTCCATGGTATGGGGGAGAACTTCCAAGGTGTCCTAGGTGAGGAATCTGAAGCACCGGTGGGACAGGGTGGTGGTGTCCACGGCACTTGGGGTCATCCTGTTGGAACCGGTGTTTTGGGCTTCAGTGGAAAGCTGTTGGTCTTACTGAAACACAGGCAGGTTCAAGGTTTTAAGTGTTGATGGACATGTAGAAATGTCATGAAATTTATTGAAATTTCGATGTTGCTGGAAGCAGTTGCTGTTGCTTTTGTAGCGCCCACAGGCAGGGTGAAGGTTGCGGTTGAACAAAAGTGTGTGTTTTTTTGTTTTGTGTGTGTTTCTTGCAAAGATTTTGGAAAACAATAGGATCAGACGAGCACGTGTGTCGCAGTCCATCGCCCCTTTTATTCCCTTTTCTCACTCCCAGCACACAAATGCGGCGCCTCCGCTGCGAGATCAAGTCCACTTGCGTAGCACCCGATGCCGAAAAGTATTGAGCTTGCCTGGTGCGTGAACCGCTGGTTCTTAACCACCCCACCCCACCAACCTACCCCACATCGCATAACTCTTCCGAAAAGCATGGTGCTGGCGTAGCACCGTGAACTGCTCGTTCTGTCACCCCACGCGAACCCCAAAGCGGCGGAGCACCGTCTTTGCCGAAACCGGCGCAGCATAACCCCCAAAACGCATCTACTCAAAGCAAAGCACTGGAAATGACAGTCTCGCGGCGGTCTCGCAGTGACTGCCAAACACAATGGGAGCGCTTCTTGCCCCATGGCCTCTTGCATCCAAAAATCTTACCCGCCAGGCCCGTCAGGTAACCTTTAACTTTTTTGGGGGTATTGATTTTCCCACTAACATCTAAAAGGTGGAAAAAGGCTGAGCTGTATCTTCCCGGGAAACTGCGGTCATAAATAGAGTGATCCTGCAAATACACTTCACTTGGGCAACAACAACAACAACAACACATGGACCGCTCAGCAGCCTTACGCAGTCTTACATGGCCACAACTTTGGCATGTGAGGTG